AGGAAGAGGGGAAAGGGGCCTCTTCTGAACCGACAAAGGGCCCATGCCCCGAGCGAAATGGCGCGGAACATCCGCCGAGGCGAAGTGGGGGCGATCCCTAGGTTTGGGTGCGTTTTGTGTGTGGGGGGGTCTTCTTCGGGGTTCCTTTTTATGGGGCTTGCAAGCGCGCCGGCGCCGCACGGCTCAGGCTTTTTTGTGTATCACTTAAATTGTACGGAATAATGAACCAAAGAAGAAGGATTTATCGTCTATCAATAATAAAAAATAGGGTTTGGCGGTAGGCTAATTTATGCGAGGAACCCAAAATTCTAAAGTGTATATTAACCAAGCATTTTATGGACGATACTTCCTCTAATAATATCTTACATTGAGCACACCAAAAATCAGGACTTAAATATTCTGATAAAAGAATTTATTTCCAAAGGAATGATATTAAACAAAGTTCGAATTTAAGATTTCCTAGTGTGACAACTTTTAAAGCATATATCAATGTTTATTTAATATTTGGTTGTATCTACCTTACATGGAGATAATTTACTTAATTAAATTACTTACTCCCTTCGAAAGGTAAGAGCAGCACCAAATGGATACCGCTGTTAGAATAATACCAAACATATTAACTAAGGTGATCTGATCTTTATCCATGAGAACAAATATTAACATGATCCCGCTCATCTTAACAGTCCATTGTATGTTATTCGTAGTTTGATCAGACAACAAATGGCTCGCAAAGCACGAAATATTCGCAAAGACAGATACTACCAAAGAAAGCAAAATAAGCAACTGAGCTCCAAACTTTGGGTAGACAAAGATATCTGAGTTAAGCGTGTAGAAGGAAAGTGGAATAGTAATACATGATGAAATAAAAAGCTGATATGGGAGAATTTGAATTGCAGAAACTTTTAATCGATTTAGCTTCTTGTAAAGTAGATAGTCATAGAGAATACCCGTTATCACCGATGCTAAGGCAACGGTAATGCCTAAGAAAGTAACCTCTGAGTTAGTAATGACGATCCACAACCCACTACCCACTCCGACGAACCCTGCATACATCTTCAGTGAAGAAAACATTGTATAGAAATGCATTCGCCATATAAATAGCATAAATAATGAAATTACCCCCATGAACTGGTAAAAATACGCGGGATTGAGCATTAAGGATAGATTGGAGAGAGAAATATAGGAGCAATAGCTTAGACTGACTGGGAGGACCTCATATAGAGGTAGCTGCTTATGCTCTAAAAGACCAAGCCAAAGGCAAATCCATAATGTTAAGAAGGAAAATACAAATTGTATTGAAGTAAGTATGAGAGCATATGGGAAGCCGTACTCTTCAAGAATTTCTTTATTCAAAAAAATATAGATCAAATAAACGACGATATTAATAACTAGAACATAAAGGTTATAGTTGGAAAATATTTCTTTATTAAAAGAAGAAAACAGGTTAGTCATCTATACTTTTATATGTGAAAAAGTGGTCAGGTGCCTCTATAAACGAAATAGAATGTTGCCTTTGATTCTAATGATAATGAACTTTCGTATATTGATTTAGCAAAGAATATAACTTTTAGGTATCCAAAACAAAATATTAAAACCTACAAATGAGATAATGCATTTGAATTGTCATTCACATACGTTTTTTTTGTATCTCCTTTAGGCATATTAATCGTTAAGTCCTTATACATATACATATATATATATATATGACCTGTGAATAATTTCGATAAGAAAAACATGATATAATGGAAACATTCATCATGACTCTCTACAACATACACTTATTACGATAGAGTTTTTGCGCTGTCGTTAAAGGGGACAAAATATCCGCCAACCAAAAAATCATCCTCTCCCCCAAAGGTGAAAAACCGTTTTAGAGTGGTATCGCCCTAGTTATTCCACTCTGTGATGCGATTTCATAACCCTATAAGTGCATGTCATATCCATTAGCAATTTAATCAGAAACTGATTCGCATAGAGGGTGCTCGACAACGTGCCTTGTAGTAATCCAAGACAGGCAAGCGTGTGGATTGCTTTTGTGAGATCCCCTCCGATTACGATATTCTCACTGAGAACTGTTGTGGAAAGCGCGTGAAGGCCCCCACCATTCACACTGCGAGCGAGGATCCCGCGGAGGGGAACTAAAGCAGGAAGCCTCCGATTGGCTTGTTTAAACGTGGAAATCCCCAAACGGGTGTACATTTGTTTGGGGATACCGCAGCCGGACGCGATTCGCCTTCCAAGCATCTTTTTCTTTTTTTTAAAGAGTACCTTATATGACTTAAACTATATATATATATATATATTGGCCGCGATGGTGTAGTACAAATGCTAAGAGAACTTTCCTATTAGGGTACTTGACAAACTCCACACTACGTTATAATGAAAAGGTGTCTTGTCAAGCCACCCCAAAGAAACAGAACCACCCCCAAAAGGAAGACACTTGAGGAAAAGATCATGATTTATTCAAGACGCAGGACTCTCACATCCACGAGTTATTTTAAAAATCACAGAGCCCCACATAGCGTAGTGAAAAAGAGGGATAATAGGCACGATATGAATTTCATTTCCTTCGGTACACCAGTATATCTATCTATCTAACTAACTAACTAATTATATATATATATATATTTATATATATGTATTCATATATGTAATATGAAAAATAACGGAAAAAATCGCCAAACAGCGGACCTTCTTCTTTCTATAGTGCCTATAGTTCTATAAATCTAAAGTATATTTGGGTTTAAAAATGAGCGAGCGTGTGCCCCCTTGGGCATGGGATTGCTTCGCCTCCATAAGTTCTCTGTGAGACATAAAGTTCAACGTCATCCGCGCGGAACCCCCCTTCTCCCCTCCCCCATAACTATTTCCATATTGAAATAGAATATTGGGGGTAATTTGTGTTAAAGGCGTACAAACGCTGCCGTCAACGACGTTATTCACGACGATATTTTTAATAAATTGCGCGATCGCCATTTGGGTGTCCTCCGCGTTCGCGGTACGCGTCCAGACGCACAACTTCCACTCCGAATTGTTCCCCACCCCGCGAGCTTTCCCCCGGCTGACCGTAATCCCGCAAATTTCTTCCTCCTCGCAGGGGAATAATTCCCCGATGGCGGCTAAACAAAGTTTTTGCCAGGCCCCATCCACCGGCAACATCTTCGCCGCGCTGGGTTTACCCTCCCGGGATTCGTCCTCGTCGGCGGGGAGGTTTAGAGGGGGATGGGAAAAGGTCAAGACCCACTTCCCCCCGCGGCGGTTCGCCTCATGCTCCCACATCGGGACGATAAAGCTGCGAAAAAGAAAGTAACTCGTGTTCACGGGCAGCTGCGAGGGCAGAAGAATGCACTGCCATAACCCCCAAAAGGCCTCCGCGTTGTCGAAGACCCCGACGTGTTTGACCTGATTGAGCCAATTGCCGCTGGCCGGGGGGTGACTCGCGCGTGCGGTCGCGTCCGTCAGGTTATTCGGCGGGAGATCGCACGAGAGCTCCCACGTCCCCCACAAATGTGTGGAGCCCGGCATCGCGTGCGGGTCATCCGAGCGTAAGGAATCATTTCCGTCCATTTTTATAGAAGGGCGATTCGTTTTTCTTTTTCTTTTTTAAGTTTTCCTTTTTTTTTTTATTCTGATTCTTATTTCTTTTTAGGCCAGGTTCCTATTCCGCGATGAGGAAACCTCAACAACTACAGTCAAACAAAGGGTGTCATAAAAAAGGAATCGCAAAGGGGAATGGTTCATAGGAAAAACATCATAGGAAGCTGTGGAGGTCCTGTTTTCACAACGCTCAGGCGTTGGATTCCCACAGGGTAGACCATAGAGTGAGGCGGCTTTAGTAGTTAAACGTGGTACTTGGAGGCGATGTGTCCGGCACCCACCCCTGCAAAGCAATTTGTATTATACACGCAAACATAAGGTTATTTAATTCGGCACCTACGGGGTCATGGTTGAGGGGTTCATTATAATTAGCCTAAAAAGCCGATCGAGGTCCAAACATCAAACAGGATCTGTTTCTTTTCGGCTAAAAAGTGAATGCGATGCTGCTGCATGCTTTCATCGTCGTCCGGGTCGGCGAATATCTTTTTCTCCAAAAGACTTCGAACCGCTTCCATAGCCTTCGCCGGACCACAACAAAAAAGCTTCCCCTGAAGGTTGAGCAGCGCGTCTCGGAGGTATGCCGCATTCCTTTCGAGAAGATCCGTTATCCGTTCTCCCGCCTTTCCGTCATCTGCCTGGCGGGAGAGGGCATAATCGTACGAACTGATCGCCCCACCTTCCCGCGCGGCGAGAAGGGTATCGTGGTAGACCAACTCCGCCTTGGTTTTGCTGCCGTACATCACCATACATGAATAGGGCGGGGCGGCGATCCCCCCTCGCGCGGTTTCCTCCCGGGCCCGCCAAAGCTCGCGAACGCCGGCGATCAACGGCGCGATGCCGGTCCCGGCGGCCAACAAAATCACCGGCGTCATCCGGGCTTCGATCCCGCCCGATGAAAGGCCCCGGAGGGCCTTTTTCAACTCGTGGCCGAACGAGGAGGTCCCGAACAACGACGTGCCGAGGTAAATCCCGCGGCCGAGGGGGCGGGCCGCGCCGCGGGTGGCCTCCCAAACGAGGGGATTCGTCGTATGGCCGTAAAAGTGCGAGGAGCGGAGTTCCCGGCGGTCCGCCCTGCGAAACGCGACGTCGTTGAGCAAATTCGCGAAGTGGAGGGCGGTTTCGTTGGGGATGGCGGGGCTCGGCAGGCCCTCGCGGGAGGCCACGACCTGGCGGAGACAAAGCTCCAGCGATTTCGCCCGATCCCGCGAGAGCGCCCGGTGGCCCGCGATGCTGAATTTTCGCGGCTGCAGGGGCCCCGTGATCTCCAGCATCCGCTCCAGCGGGAGCCGAACAAAGGCGAAGAGCTCCAGGACCTCCGCCAGGCAGGGATAGCAAAGCGGCCGGCCGCCGTTGGCGATGGCGCGAAAGACCGCCCCCGCATCCGCCGCCGAGGCGCATCGGCGGAGCAATTCCACCCCCTCGGCGAGGGCCTCGGCCCCCCCGCCCGCCTTGGCCGACGAGTTGTGGTGGAGCCGCAGCAGGCTCTGGAAGAAGGCCGGGCGAAGGAGGTAGCTGGAGCTGCTGATATCCACATAATTCGAAAGCAGCTGGCGGACGGTCAGGGGGCGGTCCCGCGGCAGCCAAGGGGGGAATTCGGCCTCCGGGACGAAGGGGGAGCAGCGCAGGAGGCAGCCCGCGTCGGGGTCCACCCGCAGCCGCCGGCAGAGATGCTCGACGCTGTGGTCCAGCGCGGGGTGGTCGTTCGGGACGAAGACCTCGACGACGTCGCCGGGATGGGGGGTGGGAATCGGCGATACCGGCTGAACGGAAAGGACGTGGATGGAGGGCTGATCGACCCCTGGATGGCTGCTTTTTAGTAACTCCAGAGACTCCAGTGCGGTGTATTTATGTTCGAGCTCCTGATGAATCCGCTCCTCGGCCTTCGCGACGTCTTTGGGGGACAGATTGTCGAGGTACTTGATCACAACCGACCCGATGTAATCCTTGGGTGCGTCTTCCTCGTCTAAGCTGCTGTCGTTTGACTCTTCTTCTTCCTCCTCGCTACTGGAAAGCTTATTCTCCTCGTACGCCATCAGTGCATCATAGTAGACGTCATAAACACATCTCGTACAGCCCGAGCCGCAGCATTCCCCCACAGCAGGCTCACGCGGCCTCCGGATTTTTTTACCCATGATATAGCCGAGATGTTCGCCCTTTTTAAGCTGCCCTGAGATACTTCAACCAAAAAGAGGGAAAGACAGAAATATAACAACTTTGTTATTCATATGATCACCCCTTCCTGACGACAGAAGAAAAAAGAAGAGACAGGGAGACCAGAGATGATTCTTTACCAAATGCGGGTAATGAAGATCAAATCAAGGCCTTTTAGTCTCGTTGATATAATTCACACACACACACACAGACACACACACTCATATATATATCTAAACACTAAGGTATATGCACAGCATTAGTTTATCTATGCACTTATTATCAGCCAGCAGGTGGGGAGTTCTCCACAATTAAATCCCAGAGAGCGTTCCGAAGCGTCTCCGCGGTGTACTCCCGATTGTACTTCGAGACAAATGGGTTCTCCGCCCCCGCCTCTTGCGCCGGATCGCGGAATTTCTTGAAATAGGGGTGCTCAATCACCTCCTTCGCGCTAATACGCTTTTCGGGGTGAAAGACCAAAAGCTTCGAGAGCAAATCGCACACCTCCGGGGTGGCCATAGGAAAGAGTTCCTTAAAGGGCCGCGCGGGGTGTTTTGGTTGGGCCGCGAGGAAAGTCCGAGCCTCGGGGCTCAGCACCTCCAAATCCTCCCCCGACGGAGTCCCCAGCAGGTTCATAATCAACATCAGCTGCTTAATATAGTCCGACCCCGGGAGCAAGGTCCGGCCGACGATGAGCTCGGCGAAGATCAGGCCCAGGCTCCAGACGTCGACGGCGTTGGTGTAGGGCCGCGGCCCCATCCCGAGCACCTCCGGCGGGCGATACCAGCGGGTCACGACGTACTGCGTGAGGTCCGCGGCGGGCCCGCGCTGGTCGTCTCGCGCGAGCCCGAAATCGCAGATCGCCAGCGCGCAGTCCGCGTTCACGAGGAGGTTGCTCGGCTTCATATCGCGGTGCATGACCTTGGCGGAGTGCAGGTGGTGCAGGCCGCGGAAGGCCTGGACCATGAAGTACTGGTGGTGCTCCGTCGTGAGGGCCTGGCCGCTCTTGATGATGCGGTGCAGGTCCGCGTCGTAGAGGTCCATCACGAGGTAGATGTCCTCGAAGGTCGCCTTGGACTGCGGCCGCAGGAAGTGGTGGAGCCGGATCAGGTTGGCGTGCCGCAGCGTCGTCATGATCTCCATCTCGCGAAGAATGCGCTTGCCCTCGCGCAGGTCGTCCAGGGCGCGGGGGATCTTCTTGATGGCGACTTTCTCCGCCGTATTCACGACTTGGGCCGCACAGACAATCCCGTACGCCCCGACGCCAATCTGCTTGGTCAGGGCGTACGGGGGGGGGACCTCGAACTTTTGGCCACAGATACTATAGATTTTTTTCCCATTCGGGAGCTCCGCCAGGGGTCTGATTTTATCCATATACGCTTGTTCGGGGGAATACACCCATAGGAAAACTAACTCGGGCAGGAGTGTACAACGTGCAAGCTTTTTTTTTTTTGTAGCAAGGAAACCAATCGAAACAAATAAGAGAATAGAGGGGGGTGAAGGGTAAACAAACCCCCGAGTACGGGTCAAGGGATAACAACAACAATAAATTTACCCCTTTTCTTGAAAAGTAAACCATCACACGACAGGCAGGTAGGCACCGAAGGTTTCTTGTGAAAGTTCGCGTAAACACAAACCAAAGATCTATTATATGTAAATTCATGCAGAGTTTGTTAGAACGCCACAGGTTAATACCAATACATTGGACGATTTCAGATATTTTGCCTTCACACTATCCACATCAACCATACACGGTAAATCGACATGAAAATGATCCACATCAATGGCTTGTTTGGTTACTGATAGATCGACCTCTGATAAAGACATGGTCGCGTCGGAGGGCTTTAATCGTACGGTAATGTGGCTCTCGCTCTGGTCGACCGATAATAAAGTCCACTCCCACCTTGGCTTCTTTGGAGGATCCATAGAAGGGGGCGGGGGAGGAGGGGCGGGGGCCGCTGGCGTGGTTTTCACCGTATTCGCGTTCATATCCCCTACGTTGATGATTTTACATCGCTTCCGCAGCGACTCCGGGATGTGGCTTAACTGATCAAACACCTTTCCTTCACCCTCGGACGATCCGGATTCGTCGTATAAACGTCCTTTTGTATTGAGAAGGAATCCTTTTTGAACGCCCGAGTTGGAGATCACCTCGCGGATTAAAGGGGGGGTCTCCTTTGCGGCGTGTGGGGTTCCTACACAACGCAAGGGCTCGGGTATTTGCGTCGCCTCCTCCACATTCGAGTTGGCGGCCTGTTGACTCGCCGCGGATAGCGCCGCCTCCGCCGCGCGTTTGAGCGCCTCCAGAGGATCGGAGGCGCCGGTGGAGGCCCCTTTAGGCCTAAACACCTTAAAATCCAAAAGTTTGCACGTCTTCGGCTGCAGTACCGCCCCCCATTCCGTTTGGATCCACTCCGTGGAAAGCTCCATCAATCGTGAAATAAAGTGCTTCACCAAGGGGTGCGCTTTGCCACACCGACTCACCACCGATGAATGGACCATGACGTCAATACAATAGTCATAATCGGAGGCCGATAGCTTTAAAGGCTCACAAACGGAAATGGGAATAATTAAATTATCAATTCCTCTTTCATCTAGGTATTCCTCAGGAACGGGGGTCATGTTCTTCGCTAATGGCTTCTCCAAATTGTCATGGCCGCAGACGTTTACGATGTACGTTGTCTTTTCATCAACAGCAATGCCAGAAAAGCAAAACCCTTTGACATTTTTGGAAGTAGAAGACATGCCAAAGAATAATTAATCGACCTTTTGTTGTGTCCTAATAATTACATAACAAAACACGATATGATAATAGAGAATGAAACATGTTGTTGAAAAATATTCCTGATCAGATCATTGCTAGAACTGATAAGAAAACACTTATACAAAATGCATTAAAGGTGACAATCAAATATGAGGAACAATTAAGAAGTTGCCACTAAAGACTCCCTCCATACTCCTCATCGATTCACTTTTTTTTAAAAACTTGGTACATTTATTCAACATTCTTACTGCTCTTGGTATCAAACATGTAGATACTCGCATGAAAAAATCAGTTTCCGGGAATCGGGTATTGACAATTAGGGAGATCATAAATGATCATTATAGAAAAAATGAGTTCATATATCGTGATCGCTACACGTATATATGGAGATATATTATAAAGGGGTAATGTGCATGTGTATGGCCCTCTAATGAACGAATAAATTGATTAAATTTTAAAATAAAAAAATTGCCCTAAATCCATTATATGCGGCATTAAAGTTTTAAGTAATTCATTAAGTCCTTAAATGTTTGCATATTAAGAACACATTCCACCCTCTTAATCTATCCCCTCGGAAATGTTGTAAAATTGAATAAGCATTTGTAGAGCTTCGGCTTTGCCCCCTATGTTCAGGCATCTCGCACGTTAGGCAATCCTAGAATATAAATGTGTGCAGTTAAGCTTACAGACTTTTCTTACCAATACTTAATATTCATATGAAAAAAAAAGGATCAAGTACTAAAGGATTATTATACTCCAACTTGGAGGATGTTTGGCTCAGGGAACCCTTTGACAAGGTGCGCAATAAGGCTCCATACGTTCACTACAAAGAACAGAATGTGAAAAGTGGAGGCTCCCTTGTTGATGCTTCATGGATATTTCCTAAAAGATAAGTAACTAAAAGGGAATCATATGGAGCCATTCCCTGATGATAACTCACCTTAGCCATAGGCAAGGAGGAAAAGAACCCACGAGAGTCTTCCAATACGAATTTCATCAGCCTTTCTCGCTTTCCTTTTATTTATCTCTCACAAGACCTTCTCTTGTCCCTCCAGTTTAGCTCATAAGTTATATGTAGATATCATTACTAATATGTGTGTTTGGATTGGTTTTGTCCTTAACAGAACTACTATTCCCTTTCATTTTTTAGATACAAAATGGTGTTTCTATAAAGAAAAGAAGGATACTAATACGAAAATTGAATTTTCTAGTGGGTAATGCATTGTTCACTAATTTCAGCTGAAAATGTCGGAGCCTAACTCAGAGTCAAAGATTTTTCTGTAATATTCTATATAATATGATTATTTTTTCTCTTTCAGCACTTTATAACTAAGTCTTCGCCCTCTTTTATTATTTCATTGCATTTCCTTATGGATATTTTTTGCACACTGTATACATTCATGAAAACTAAATCATAATGAAAGCATTTTTTCCCCAGAATCGGTAAATACAATGTTTGAAATTCACGCACTATTTATAAGAATTTTCAGGGGGGTTTCCTCATTTTCGAATTTCTTGTGTATATACAACAGTTAGATAATCATAAAGGTAAACCTAATGAAGTTCTTAGATCTGAAATATGAGATTCAGCACAATTTACTTGGCGATAGCATGGGGAAACGTGCAAATATTTTCATAATAGCCCAATATTCCTCCCATACACATATTCAAAGGTTCCTTGATGCTCTTCGAGGCACCAACGCACTTTTTCTGGAAGAAGATGGTCTGCTCGACGGTCGATTCACTGCAGTTGAAGATGGCGGAGCCGCCGGATTTGAGATCAACGCAGTTTTCTAAGGGAAAGGACTCTTTGGAGCAGAACAACGAGCAGCGATTGTCAAAGCATGACTTAACCACGAGTTCACTCTTCACTGGTTTTGGTGGGGGTGGTGGTGGGTTTTTGCTGTCGCTGTCGCTTCCATCCTTCACCTCAACGGTAACGGCGTACTCCTGCACACCGCACTGATTGCTGCCTTTTTCGATGCGAATATAGCCTTTCTCACCCCAGGAGTTACTCCAGGAGTTTTTAATAATCCAATACGGAGGCTTTGCGGTGTCGTTAAAGCCGACAATCAGAACCCCGTGGTTGAGCGCGCTCAACTCACACGAGCTGAGGACGCCGCCGGCGTAGAGCTGCCAGTTTGAGGCATCCACGGCGACCGCGATGGGGCCGGATTTTATCAGCTGGGCAGCGATCGCGTCCTCGTTGGATTCGATCTCGACGAGTTTCGCGACAACCGCGCCGACCTTCCCACCCTCCAGCTGGCATTCCTCGGTGAGCCCGTCTCCGGAGGTGTAGGGGTAGCTACTCTCAGTCAGCACTCTTCCCCCGCGCGCGTTCAGCAGCCACTCGATCGCGTTTCCCATCATCCCCCCATTGCAGCCCTGGTCGGTGTCATCGCAGCTCACCAGCTCCTGCTCCGACAGGGAGGTGAGGGGGTGCCCTGTGGCCGCCCAGACACCCTCGATTGTCCCGGTCGTCGAGAAGGCCCAACAGGAGCCGCACTGCTTTTGGTCTTTCACTTCGGTCACCGCCCCGTGATCGCGCCAGTCAAAGGAACTCGGCAAGGAGTCCTTCAAATTCTCCTTCTTCATCCCATTCCAATTCTCTCTCCCAAAACCGTGGCTCTGTTGGGTCTCGATGGGGTTCTTGCCTGTGTTTAGGCGCGGGGGGGGCCTCGTTCCCAGATACCGTGCGACGAACTCATCGTGCGAGAGGTCGGCAAAGCGATTCCCCTCGACGGAGAAATGGGCGTGGGAGTCGATCAACCCCAGCCGGCGTGCGCGTTTGATGTTCGAAATGAAGATGGACAGCCGGTAAGCCTCCTCCTCGAGGCTTTCGTAGACCTTACTGTGGTAGGCCTTAAAGTCCTGAAACATGGCGTGGAACTTCTCATTCGCACTCAGCGCGGAGGTCTCGCTGACCACCAGAACGAGAATCAGCAGTAATAAGGACCCCCAGAGCCCTAGCCTTGTGGACATTATTGCAAATAGCACGTGTAGTAGCACTCGTGGTAATTATAGTAGTAATAGTACTAATAATAGTAACAATAGTAATTTTAATAACAATAGTAATAACCCTATATGAAATAAAGCGGGAGAGTTTATTAGCAATTAAGCAAAGAATTGAATAGGTATCTAAAATTGTTTATAGGGGATTTTATAAAGTAGAAGAATACCCAAAAAAAAAAGATTCCTGGGATAGGGGCATCCGAGAAAGAAGTGAGGGAAAAGGAAATAGATCGCAGAGGGTTCGAGGAATTTATGGTCACCAACATAGCTTTTGTTATGGTCTTTTCAATAAAGTGTAAAATAGCTATATACTTTCAGGGTTTCACATCGTTAAATTGCATAATTGGGAGCATAGAACCCCCTCTCCTTACGATATAAACTCTGCAGATGGGAGAAGGATAGATTGCCCAAAAGTTTTCTTTTAAAAATTTAAATAGGGGTACAGATAAAAGGAAATTTCACTGATTTTCATCCCTTAGATAAAAAATATCGCGAAGAATTAACCATTATCAATGGAAATTAGTTGTAAAATAGATATGAATAATATAGAAATACGATAACAATACTTAGTTGAAACGCAGTGAAGTTTGACCTACGTCATTAATGTGTTATGGTAGTATATGATTCGGTTAGTTGGAATAAAGACTAAAATAGATATTTCGATTAACCACAAAGAGAAAAGAAAAGCAGTTGAACAATTCGCAGTAGTTAAAGCTTCCAGAAAGCTAGGAATAAGGATCGCTACTTTTCGATCTGCATTCTTTTTAAAATAACCCTTTCCGATTTTTTTCCTAGTTGTCAGTTCGAACGTTTTTCGCATTCACTTCACGCGTCGTTGGGATGCGGTTGGTATGTGTGGACCACACACCCATCCGGACTCCACAAGACAACATCCAACGTTGTATTTTTCTTTATTTTCGTTCTAAGAAAATATTTTTTATTGGGGAAGTTGTTAGGTGCGTTAAGGATATCCTCCATGTACCCTTTCGCGTTTCACCCAATTACGAGTAATATATTATTCAGACTAGTCATTAAACTTTTCCAATAGTCAACTGGGGATCCCTTGGATGCCTAACAAACAAGCGTAAAAACAAAATAATCTGAAAGGGTTGTGGGATCCACTTTGTAATTCGCATCCACTTCTTTCAGAGTATCCAACGCACCTAGGATTCGTTCCTGATACTCTTGCATTGGTGGATATTTTAGTCGTCGTACTTTTCGGAGTTTTGCCGTTCTTCTTTTTCGATTGCACACCTGAAGCACTTAAGATCACATTATGTATTAAGCACAGAATTTTGGCTTGTGTTGGGTCCTTTTGTAAAGTGAGGGCAGCAGCATTTAAGTGCTCCGGCACTTGCTTCCGAAAATGCTACGTGAAAAAGCACGATTATCAAGGCAAAAATTCACAAAGTTGATCTTTCACTCCTTTAGATGTTAATGCATTGAACTTCTTCATCTTTTTTTGTGAAAGGCTCTTTTGCATGTGAACTACGTCCAGAAATCCAATTTGACAACGAGTTTACAAACTTAGGCGGCTTTTGTTTCCTTTTTACAACAATCCTTGCCTGGTAAGAAGCTTCCGTTCGACTTGCAGAAAAAATAAGCATTTGTTGAAAAAGAAATCCCGATCATTGATGATACTTTGAGGTCCTCTCTGAGGACATCCAAGCTATTTTTGTTGTCTGAATTAGTCTTCAGCAGGGGATGCCGTCATGGGAGTTCGATGGACCATTTGGAGGCTTTTGCGTTCAAATGCGTTGTACTTTGGGTGGTGAAACCCTTGCTGTTATTATCAAAATGCACATTTACTTCTAGTAATTGAGTAATTATTGGACATAACCCTTTAGATATTGCATGAATGTTTCACTGTAAACATTCTTTTTTTTGTTCTTTTAATTTTGAATAAAGGTGTCGTATCGACCTTGCATTGTGAGCCTTTCTCTTTCCCTATGGAAACCGAAAGGCATATATAGAACTGCTATGGAATAAGTAGAAAAAGGTAGGGGATATATGGGTTTAATTGATGATGGCGATAAAGAAAGGTATAATTGTTGATATTCGTACCAGAGATAGAAGTACACTTTGACAGTTTTGAAATATTTTACCTAGGAAGGAATTTCTAAATGATTCACATAAGGTCTTCTTCCCGGTTGTTTTTTCATTCCATGGAAAGTGATAAGGATAATTTCACCCCTTTCAAACATTGTGTTAAGAAGCACATTGATATATGGTGTTTGGTTGATTTCCACAAATCTGAGATAATACTTATATTAATAAATTAGCTGCTTAGATAAAACTTCGCTAGCCAAGCTATACATCAATCTAGAAAAGAGATCTAACGAAGAGTTATTCAAAGACCTTTCCAAAGCAAATTCGGGTGTTTTGAAGGGACTTGGATTCACAAAAAATATGGCAAATTTAAACACCAATACCTTTTCTTTCGTTTCGTTATTGGTAAATTTGTATTTTCAGGAATTGTTAAAGAGATAAAAGAACAATCGACTATTTAAAAGAAGATAAAAAGACTGCTGATGTTTGTTTCATATTACAAAAGAGTTCCCCTTCAGCCATCCTTATTTTACTTCTACACATTCCTCCTGATGACCAAGTTATCTTATTAAACACACACACAAAAAATACGGCTTTTGATAAAGGAATATAATCTAACTGAAAATGACATTTGTATATGATTTGCAGTTTGAATCCGTCAAAAGACATCGGATATACTCAAGGAACGATCAATAGATTTAGGAATACTGAATATTGATTCAAGTAATAACATATCTTTCCACATTCTATCATTAAGAGTTTTTAAGGGGTATGGGGTGGAAATTTCATTTCCTGTCTTGCCTTTGATTTAACCCGTATTGTTCCTGCATGTTGGATCCTAGATCTTGATGACAGGAAATATGAAACACCAATAAACACGCCATACTCAGCTCTTTTACATTACATTTTTATTTTTAAAGACTTGGCTAGCATTTTGTTAGCTTAGCCTCTGCTGCCTCGTAATATTTTTTCTGCAACATGTTGTTTACAGGCATTTCGATCGCTTTCTGATACCATAATTTAGCCTTTTCCTTTTTTTTATCATAGTAATACACATCGCCGATGAGCACAGAGTTATGAATTGTATTTCCAGCCTCAGCCGAAGCTAATAGGTACTTCAAGCAGTCCTCGACAGTCGACTTCGGGGGCTCCCCGAAGAGCAACTTTGCGGCCTTTTGCTCTACCCAACTTATCTTCAGGACTGACCAACACCATTTACCCATACAATGGAGTGAGTTTGCATCCTTAGGGTTCAGTTCTAAAGCCTTTAGAAAGTGGTCCCGGATAATATACGCGTTCTCAATCCTTTTCTTATTACCAACATCCTGTGCAGAGAGGAGGATACCGAGCCACTTGTGCGCTGCAAAGTTATTCGGATTCTCCTGAAGAGATTGCTGGCATAACGCTAACCCTTTTTCCTTGTAAGACACTGATAACTTTTTATCAGAGGACTCCTCAGCCATTTCGTAGTAGGAGCGGCCCAGACGCCAGAGAATCTCTGGGTGTCGCACTCCATTTTCGTAGGCGTTTGTCAAGATCTCGTGGCAGCCTCCGATACTAGGGCTAGCGAGCACGGCGTCTGCGTGTTCCGCGATGGCCTTCCAGTCTGCGTCTGACATTTTAGAGTGATGTGTATTTCTCTCTTTCGATATATGTGTTGGTGTACCTGTACCAAAATCACTTAGTCAGCCTATAAATGTTAATAAGAATGGTATTATTATTATTGAACTCTCCGTTAAAAGAAAAATGTGAAAAAGACAAGTCACTTGAGAACTTTGAGAAGCAGCTTTGAAATTTACTCCCATCTCTTGCTTGGTTTTTGCCTAAATAAGTTAAAAATGTGCTCCATGAACCTTATTGATTATCTATTTCTCAGTTTCCCCCCGTAGTGGAAACCAATAGAGCAAGCCCTTTAGACGTCGCCGTGTCCATTGGCCCTGTGCTGCCTATATACTTACTTAAAATCGGGACGATCGTGTCAAACGCGAAACGGAGCTCTTCGATGCTCCGCGCACCCAACATGCTCATCTTACCGGTCACGAAGACCGTTGTCGTTACTACCCACTTGTTCGTTGCCGATGTTCCCTCCAGGCGCACGATGCACCCGTTGAATCGCTCCGGCTCGTAGACGCAGGAAATCGAGCCGACCCCGATGCTTTCCCGCGCATCCAAGCTGTGGTGTGCGAGGTCGTCCAGCCGTATGGGGCTGCACGCGTTGAAGCGGGCCATAATCGATCGCACGCGAAAGCGAAAGGTGTCGATGGTCAGGCCGATAGCCTTTCGAATGATGCGGGCGGCGAGCTCGGCGGCCTGTCGGGCCTCGCTCAGGCCCGCCGCGCCGACCACGGTGAGGGCCCCGCTGTTGCGCACCAGGACGACCGCGCTGGGCTCGTGCAGCCGCATCGTCGCGCACGCGTTGCGGCTGTTCGGGACGTACTCGACGTTGCGCGTGGCGCAGCTCA